CTGAAACATACATGAACACAAACACACAGCAGAAAAAGTACATCAAAGTACCGCGACAGTGACACGAGAGCAGCCGGTTGTCTTTTATGGTATTTCCAATGTCCGTAAAAAAATACATATATTATATTTTTATATAGATATAAAATATAAAATTATTTTTAAAAAGAGATGGACTGGCACCCTGTCCAAGGTGAACCCCGCCATGTGCCCGATGCTCCCTGGGATTGGCTCCAGGTTTCCCCGCGACCCTGAAGAAGGAGTAAGCGGTAGAAGATGGATGGATGAATAATAATCAATCTGCGATCGATTAGCGACCGACGTTTAGTAGATCCCACTCAGTGTGGCGCAAGGTCCCTTTCCAGAACCTTCACGCTAACTGTTCCTCAGTGGTGGAATGAACTTCCGATCTCAATCCGGACCGCAGAATCTCTCACCATCTTCAAAAAAACAGCTAAAGACCCACCTCTTCCGTCAACACCTAACCAACTCCTAATAATAAATAAACAAATAAATACATGCACTTGCACCTGCGTGAAGTTGCCCCCCACCAACGTAAAACCGTCAGCAAAATAGTCTCAATCGTTTGTGCTTCGTTTGTGTTGTTTTGTGCCGTTAAAATTTTCGTTTGTGGCTCCTTCCGGTTCCAGAGATATTAAAGGAATATTCAAAGGTCATTCTGGGGTCACCAGCCCCCACATGCTCCAAATTAACCAGAAATGGTCTCAATCGTTTGTGCTTCGTTTGTGCTGGTTTGTGCTGATAAAAGTTTCGTTTGTGCTGCTTTTGGATTTGGAGATATTAAAATAATATTTATAGGTCATTCTGGGGTCACCCAGCCCCCCCCATGCTCGAATTCACCCAAAATGGTCTCAATCGTTTGTGCTTCCGTTTGTGCTGGTTTGTGCTGTTAAAATTTTCGTTTGTGCTGCTTTCGTTTTTAAGATATTAGACATTTAATTGTGGCGCGGTGACGTCACCAGCCCCCACATGCTCCAAGTTCATTCAAAATAGTCTCAATCGTTTGTGCTTCCTTTGTGCTGATAAAAGTTTCGTTTGTGCTGCTTCGGTTCCGGAGATATTAAAATAATATTTATAGGTCATTCTGGGGTCCCGAACCCGGTGCTCAAATTAACCCAAAATAGTCTCAATCGTTTGTGCTGCTTTCGATTTTAATATATTAGGGATTAAGTTCTATGAGATGCAGTCACCAGCGCCACACATGCTCCAAATTGACCGAAATAGTCGTCAAAAACTTGTTTTTGTGTAATACGAAGCAGCACAAACGAAATTTTAACGCACAGCAGCACAAACGAGGCCAAACGATTGAACTATTTAACCTGGGTTGGTCCGAGCATGTGGGGGCTGGGTGACCCCAGAATGACCTATAAATATTATTTTAATATCTCCAAATCCAAAGCAGCACAAACGAAACTTTTAACGGCACAAACCAGCACAAACGAAGCACAAACGATTGAGACTATTTTGCTGACGTTTTGCGTTGGTGGGGGCCAACTTCACGTGAGTTTTTAGGAAGAGGTATGTTTTCAGACATCATTTGAAGACCATCAGTGACTCCAGTTTGGACATCTAAGGGAAGTTCATTTCACCACCTAGGTGCCAGAACAGAGTCTTGATGCATGCCTTCCTTGTACCCTGAGGGATGGTGGTTCCAGTCGAGCGGTGCCAGAGGATCAGAGGGAGCGTGGTGCAGTGTGGGGTGTGATAAGTGTTTTGAGGTAATTGGATGCTGGTCCATGTCTGGCTTTGTAGGCAAGCGTCAGTGTTTTATATCAGGTGCGGTTAGCTACAGGAAGCCAGTGGAGGGAGTATAGCAATGTGGTGGTGTGGGAGAACTTAGGAAGGTTAAAAACAAGTCAAGCAGCTTCATTCTAGATCAGTTGCAGAGGACAAATGGCTCCCAGAGGCAGGCCTGCCTGGAGCGAGTTGCAGTAATCCAGTCTCGAAATGACATGAAACTGACCCAGCACCTGAGTTGTCTGTATGGATAGAAATGGATGAATTTTTCTGATATTGTAAAGAAGAAATCGACACGAGTGTATCAGATTAGCAATGTGAGAGGAAAAGGACCGGTGATTATCCATGGTTACCCAAAGGCTGCGTGCAGTAACCGAAGGTGGGATCAGAGATTTGTCTAGGGAGAGTACAAGATCTTGACATGTTGATGAATCACCTGGGATGAACAGCAGTGGAGAAAGACTGCAGCACTGATGGAAGGAAATGATGATAGTATCGAAAGTGATCTGGAGATGAAGGAAGATACTATCAGTGGGAATAATTGAGTAGGTAAATGGAATAAAATTGTCAATTGTAAAAGGAAAAAAACTTGTAGGCATTAATCAGGAACTGATAGTGAAAAACAAAGGGTACCGGACAGGACAAACAAGGAGGAATTTAAGGTACTGATGAAATTTGCAGAAAATTATATGGTCAATCCAGTAAAATTACCAAAGCAATAAAAAAAGCACTAGGTAACATAGAGAGGGCTAAGACACAGAGAAATGGAAATCTTAATTTTTTTTTGTAAAAATGCACAACAGACAATCAATAAAATCTCCAATAAATAAAATCACCAATAAAATCAATGCTTGGCCAATCAGTGAGTTTCACAGTTCCGAGTAAGAGAGCTTGGTTAAGGGGAGTAATTGAACAGATTCAATAAAGAGCATCATAAAGGGGGTTAAGGTGATTGAAGCGAAAATATGTAAATGTATACGAAATAAAGAGAAAGAAGGTAGTCTTTTTGTAGTGCTTCAATTTGATGAGAAAAGAATGCCAAAGAGTGTACATTGGTTATGTCAGTTATATGGTAAGAGAAATTTGAGCAAGGGACATATCTGAAATGCTGCAATTGTGGAGGCAAACACAAAGCTGGATTTGGTGGATGTATGGTGCATAGGAATGCTGTAAAAGTTCAGAACATTATGATGCAAGAGGGAATATCACATACAGAGTCTGCTAAAAAGGTGAAATAGGTGGAATCTGTTCAAGGAAAAGGACCAGTGGTCCTATCAAACCACATTAATAGGACATCAGCACAACATAGAACAAATGAAGATTGTTTAAATGTTGGAAAAAGTTGAGTTTATGTCATTTTTAGCTGAGGTAATAAACTGTGTGGCACAAACTGAAAGCAGAACTGAAAGGATCAAAATAATAATCAAGGCAGCTGATAAAACAGGATTAGAGAGTTACCCTAGAACAAGTCAATGAAAAACTTAAGGGGCAAGTAGCAGATACTCAGGCATCATATGGAGGTATTTACTGATATTAATAGTATTACAATGGAATTCAAGGAGCTTAATTACAAATGGGCAAGAATTTAAGTTTATCGAGGATAAGGAATGTAAACCTCATGTTATATGTATACAAGAGACATGGTTGAAATCTCATCTAGATTTTGTGATACGTGGTTATACAATTATTAGAAGGGAGAGACCACATTGACCATAATGTTAAGGTAATTGAAGAAATGATGGATCAGAAGGGTCTGGTGCATACAGTGAGGGAAAAAAGTATTTGATCCCCTGCTGATTTTGTACGTTTTCCCACTAACAAAGAAAAGATCAGTCTATAATTTTAATGGTAGGTTTATTTGAACAGTGAGAGACAGAATATCAACAAAAAAATCCAGAAAAATGCATGTCAAAAATGTTATAAATTGATTTGCATTTTAATGAGGGAAATATGTATTTGACTACTAAATGACGTCAGCCCTGCACTAATCTATGTGATTGGCTGTCAGTGTAGGACGAGTGGAAAAACAGCTGAGTTTTCTATGAGCGGAGGACGAACTTTAAACATCAATATCGCGGTCGATCATGTTCATTTAATCATGGGCAGTAATCGCGATCGATATTCGATTAATTGTGCAGCCCTAATCTTGGCATTCATGGTTCCCTCAATGAACTGAAGCTCTCCAGTGCCGGCAGCACTCATGCAGCCCCAGACCATGACACTCCCACCACCATGCTTGACTGTAGGCAAGACATACTAGTCTTTGTACTCCTCACCTGGTTGCCGCCACACACGCTTGACACCATCTGAACCAAATAAGTTTATCTTGGTCTCATTAGACCACAGGACATGGTTCCAGTAATCCATGTCCTTAGTCTGCTTGTCTTCAGCAAACTGTTTACGGGCTTTCTTGTGCATCATCTTCAGAAGAGGCGTCCTTCTGGGACGACAGCCATGCAGACCAATTTGATGCTGTGTGCAGCGTATGGTCTGAGCACTGACAGGCTGACCCCCCACCCCTTCAACCTCTGCAGCAATGCTGGCAGCATTCATACATCTATTTCCCAAAGACAACCTCTGGATATGACGCTGAGCACATGCACTCAAGTTCTTTGGTCGACCATGGCGAGGCCTGTTCTGAGTGGAACCTGTCCTGCTAAACCACTGTATTGTCTTGGCCACCGTGCTGCAGCTCAGTGTCAGGGTCTTGGTAATCTTCTTATAGCCTAGGCCATATTTATGTAGAGCAACAATTCTTTTTCAGATCCTCAGAGAGTTCTTTGCCATGAGGTGCCATGTTGAACTTCCTGTGACCAGTATAAGGAAGTGTGAGAGCAATAACACCAAATTTAACACACCTGCTCCCCATTCACACCTGAGACCTTGTAACACTAACAAGTCACATGACACTGGGGAGGGAAAATGGCTAATTGGGCCCAATTTGGACATTTTCAATTAGGGGTGTACTCACTTTTGTTGCCAGCGGTTTAGACATTAATGGCTGTGTGTTGAGTTATTTTGAGGGGACAGCAAATTTACACTGTTAGACAAGCTGTACACTCACAACTTTACATTGTAGCAAGGTGTCATTTCTTCAGTGTTGTTACATTAAAAGCTATAATCAAATATTTACGAAAATGTGAGGGGTGTACTCACTTTTGTGAGATACTGTCTATATATATATACCACATATATATAAAATATACAAAATATTTTATTTAAAATGTTCACATTCATCTTAGGGTGCCTGGTGGATTAATGGTTAGTACTTTCGCCTCACACCTCCAGAGTCCGAGGTTCGATTCCCGCCGGGGCCATGTGTGCGGAGTTTGAATGTTCTCCCCGTGCTGCGGGGGTTTCCTCCGGGTACTCCGGTTTCCTCCCTTGTCCAAAGACATGCATGGTAGGTTGATTGGCGTGTCTAAAGTGTCCATAGTGTATGAATCGGTGTGTGAGTGTGTATGTGATTGTGCCCTGTGATGGACTGGCACCCTGTCCAGGGTGTTACCCTGCCTTGTGCCCGATGATTCCTGGGATAGGTTCCAGGTTCCCCGTGACCCTAAAGAAGGAATAAGTGGTTGAAGATGGATGGATTAACATTCATCTTAACTGAGGGGCGGGGCAGACTGAGTGAGGGGCCGGGACAGTCTGAGTGAGGGGTACAGGCCTTGATGTAGAGCAGTGGTGTCAAACTCATTTTAGTTCAGGCACATACAGCCTAATTAGATGTCAAGTGGGCCGGGCCAGTAAAATCATAGTATAATCACCTATAAATAACAAGAAGTCCATGTTTTTACCTTTGTTTTCATGCAAAGACATTTATATTTAATGAAATATCCTTTTATAAAATATATCATGAGCAACCTCGGATTTCTTAAGAGAAACATGTGCAATTTACTTCTGATTATCATTCACATATATGTGCATTACAACTGCTCACAGTGTTTGTACAAACGCAAAAAAAAAACTTCGCAGGTATTTGGAACTGAAAAATATAGTATTTCACTTTAGAATTGATGTCATTGCATGAACAATAGGATTCCACCAAACCAAACTCTTTTGTACTGAAGCTGTTGATTAACATTAAATTGCACTTTTTTTTAACTATTACCCATTCATCTCTGTGAATAAATAGGAAGCGGTCCATTTTTCATGGAAAACTCTACACTCTGTATCCACTTTTCTGCTTTTTGGCAGACATTTTGTCTAATGAGGGTGTGGGGACGAGTAGAAAATAGAGTAGACTACTCCGTGATGACAAACAGCAGACGTCGCATTGCTGCCATCTGCTGTTCAGTCCCAGAGATGTGCTGCGTCTTTTACCCCCTAGTGGATAATTTAGGAATAGCATTTTTATTAAAAATGACAAGTTCGTGTCTTTCATGCATATTTGTTTTTCACTTTCAAAATTCGTCCTACGGGCCGGATTGAACCCTCTAGCGGGCCGGTTTTGGCCCGCGGGCCGTACGTTTGACACCCATGATGTAGAGTAATAATTTAATATCCCATCCACACAGTCCACTTGGTGGCGGTAATGCACCAAAAGCTGGTTTGCAAACCGCCATAAACACAAGAGGAGAAGAAGATGACGACGAGGAAAATGTTAAAAGTCAGTTAAGCTTCGCAGCTCGCTAAGAAGATGGATGTAAAATGAATTATTTCAACCTGAGACTAACTGCGATTTGTCTGGCGCTTTTACTTCGTACTACAGTTAACGGTAGGAGCTTTCTGTTTCTACAACACTTCATAGCTGTATGCGAAAACAATAACACACGACAGATGTACATACTCGGACCCAGAACTGGAATAAAGTTGGTTTGATGTTGGACGTTCGATATTCGCGGATATGCGGAAATTAAGGGACCGTCTCGAAAGTTACATACAACATTGTTAACAGTGCCCACGTTTTAGATTTTTGATATTTAACTAAATAAACTATTTAACCATATTGCCATGTGTTTTTATTACTGAACGAGTTCATGCACAAGATATACCATAATTTAAAGCTCAATAGCATGTAAAGGGAATGATGTACAGTCCAAGGGCGTAACCACAGGTACATACCACTTTGGTGTGCAACTTTCCTCACTTTCACTCACATTTATAACAGTCCGTCACAAGACGTTTTTTTTATAAAATTACGAACACTTTAAGCGCAGTTAATTATTAGTCATGCTATAAATGCAAATAGACAACTGCTTGAAGCCATGGGCTGCGTGCCAAACCGCATACTTACCGTCTATATCATGGGTGTCAAACGTACGGCCCGCGGGCCAAAACCGGCCCGCTAGAGGGTTCAATCCGGCCCGCAGGACGAATTTTGAAAGTGAAAAAAAATATGCATGAAAGACACGGACTTGTCATTTTTAATAAAATGCTATTCCTAAATTATCCGCTAGGGGGTAAAAGACGCGGCACATCTCTGGGACTGAACAGCAGATGGCAACAATGCGACGTCTGCTGTTTGTTATCACGGAGTAGTCTACTCTATGTTCTACTCGTCCCCACACCCTCATTAGACAAAATGTCTGCCAAATAGCAGAAAAGTGGATACAGAGTGTAGAGTTTTCCATGAAAAATGGACCGCTTCCTATTTATTCACAGAGATGAATGGGTAATAGTTTAAAAAAAGTGCAATTTAATGTTAGTCAACAGCTTCAGTACAAAAGAGTTTGGTTTGGTGGAATCCTATTGTTCATGCAAAACTGCTTTTAGATGACGTCCAATATGAAGTAATGTCTGTTGGTATGAAGACTTCACTCTGTGCAAAGTATAAATCAACTGTGATAATGGTTGCCAGTTTCTCTGTGTTGGTGAGAGTGTTCGAAAACGTTTTGTATGTCTCTGCTCTGTATAGCGGTTGTGTGGCCTAGTGGGTGCTGATTTACAATTGCAGTAAATCATTCACATGCGCAAGCAGTTTAAGCAGGCTACACCTAAGGCTACCTTCAGTCATATTTTTCTTGATTCAAATGTTGTTCAAAATATTCTGAGAATCAAATAAAAGTTGTGAAGTCAGTATTTGTAAATTGAATTGTAACCGGAGTGTGTAGTTACACTCCTATTAATTATGTTTCTCTGCTCATAAAATTTCATATTAATTTATTGTATTTTTCTGCTTTTTCTTACAGCTGTAAGGGTCATTGGTCGAGATGTGAGTGTGACAGCAGGAGATGATGCACAATTATTCTGTCAACTGGTTGAGACAGACGAGACTCTAACAAGTATTACATGGCAAAGACGAACAAAGGAAAAGCCAACAAATGCAGATTTCTTTGCCATCACTTCAGATGGTGAAGAGGGACATATAAATGGATTGAAGGACAGAGTAAAATTCACAGGTGACATCCCGGGACTCAGCGGCTCAATTCTTCTAAGTAATATTACTGTTTCAGATGAAGGAATCTACACCTGCATCTTCAGCATATTTCCAAGTGGACCGTTTGACACAGAAATTCATCTCACAGTACAAGGTAAGATTTATTATTCTAATTTGATTAAAAGCTGCATTAGGTACAGTTGTGCTCATAAGTTTACATACCTCTTGCATAATGTTGATCAAAGAAAAGAGGGATTTTAAAAATGGCATTTTGTTTTTATTTAATTCTGTTCTGAATAGGCTATTTCACATAACATATGTTTCACATGTAGTCTACAAGACACAATAATCACTGAATTTACACAAATGAACCAGTTTAAAAGTTTACATATGCTTAATTCCTAATACTGTGTGTTATTTGGATCAGTGACTGTTTTTATGTTTTATGATAGTTGTTCATGAGTCCCTTGTTTGTCCTGAACATTTAAACTGTCCACCTTCTGCATATTTGACTCCTTTCCACTATATGATGGAACATGACTATATATAACCCTAAGACTATATGATATTGAGATCCATCCTTTCACACTGAGGACAACTGAGGGATTCGTACACAACTATTACAAAAGGTGCAAACATTCACTGATGTTTGAGAATACAACACGATACATTAAGAGCAAGGGGGTGTAAACTTTTGAACTGGATGATCTTTGTAAATTGTTCTTTTGTCTTCTGGGGGGAAAAAGTAAATATCTTATGTAGCTTCTGAAAAGGGCAGTATTATTGGGGGGGGGCTTTAAACAAAATAACAATTTACACTGATCATGTTCAAAAGTTTACATGAATGAATCCCATTATTGTAGTTTTAAACATCATTACTGATGCTGTTGTCATGTTTGTTGATGTTTTTGTTTGTTTTTAGATCCTCCTGTTGTTAGTGTGAGTACCGATGTGCCTCCTGTTGCTAGCGACACTGAGGAGGTTTTAGCAACCTGCACTGCATTCAATGCGAAACCTGCAGCAGAAGTGTCGTGGAATCTGGGTGATTTAAGTGACACTGTGAAAGTACAAACTAACGTAACTGTGGACTCTGAAGGAAGATACACTGTTAAAAGCAGCCTGATTGGTGTAGCATCCAAAGATCACAACCAGAAGAAGGTTCAGTGTTTGGTCTCACACCCTGGGCTAAAGGAGAAACTGGAACTGAAGTACACATTGAACATTCACTGTAAGTTTCTGTCTTTTTTTTCTTTTTTTTTTTTTTTTTTTACCAGAATGAACAAATTTATTGTACTGTACAATAATCCAACATTATCCCTATTAAGACAATACTCTGATTAAGAAACTACCATGTAAACAGCAATTTATTATTACCTTAATCCGATTAAAGTCATACTCGAAGTAAACAAATCGAATGACCTCGGCATGTATTACAGACATGTAAACACCTTAATCACATTATTAAGGTTGTGTGGGAGTTTCCACCACCTTTTGTGACGAGACACGAACACACAGCAGTGCTCAACCGTTTTACGGCTGCGTCCGAAACCGCGTAGTCACCTACCATACAGTCGGTGAAACACATGCATATAGTAGGCGAAATACATGTATCTCACTACTATAAAGCAGTTAAGTACGCGGTTTGGGACGCACCCCATGGTTTCAAGCAGTCGTCTATTTGCACAGACAGCATTACAAATTATGTATGTCAATAATGATGATTAATATGTAAGTTCACATGGTGGATTTTTCCTGTAAAGTACAGTTCAATACAGTACAGTTTGTAGGGCTGCACAATTAGCCGAATATCGATCGCGATTACGATTTTGACTTCCCACGATTAAATGAACATTATCGACTGCGATATTGACGTTTAAAGTTTGTCCTCCACTCATAGAAAACCCTGCTGCAGATCAAATCAAGTGCTTCCTATACTTATAGCCAGTTGCCATAGAGAGGCGCAGGGATGACGTCATTTTGTAGTGCCAAAACCCCGA